AGGATTGAGGTGAGAGAAATTTTTGGAAGCTTTTTAAGTATTTAATTTTGTCCATATCAAATAAAGTTTGTAAGTGTCCTGAAAACTAAGACTCTCTCATCCAATATCAATCATTACTGATGTTTATTATCAGTATAATTAAACAATGGTCACAAGAAAACTGTTCTCCTGAAAGCGCACTAAAATGCTGATGTAATCATGGGGCCTGTGGAGCAGCCTTGTTTTGCTAAGTTGTATGTCAGGTCAAGAACACAGCTGCTGGAAGTTGTCCAGCACCAACTCCAGTTCCTACAAATCCACTCTTACGCAATAATGGGAATCCCCTGGTGCGTGGGCAGCTATGATTAGCTGACATTTGAAAGGAATCTTAAAAGTTAGACATAATCGTGTCCTCTCATGAGGAAGATGGCATTTAAGGTGTTGAAAGCATGACGGTTGTTTTAGGAAGGCACGCAGCAAGGTTTCAGCCATGTATTTTCAGATTTTCTGACAGGAAAATATGTGCTTATTTTCCTTTGTTCATAAAAATGTTTAGCTCACAGCATCTGTTAAGAAAGTTACTTTGGGTCTGCACAGGAGACAGAATGCTCCCAAAAAGTGATATTTAGAAGGAAAGTCAATCTCGATTTTGAATATCTGTTGTCAGTGTGGTGCATGTGGCCAAACCTACTGCATTTTCTGTGCAAGTACAAAAATGAATGGTGTCTGATCTTCATCTCCCATGAGAGGTGGAGGAAGGAAATAAACCTAGTTGAAATAGCTCCTTGCCTTGGCACTCCCGAGAGGGCACATAATTCAGATACAACTCTTGTGTTTCCAGGTAATAGAAGATCCAGTTCATGCTGGTTTAAATACTAAAGGAAAGGCACATTTAAACATCCAAATTCTGCTCAAGTTTGGTCATTTAAACAAAGCATCACAGGACTAAACCTTCTCTCTGCTTCTTTCTACATCTTCTTAGCCCTACACAGGCACAAAAGGCAGCCAGCAACTCCCAATTTCACAGTTGGGAATGACAACACTTACACCTGTGTTTCTTAGAATATCTGCAAATCATGCTTCCAGTGAGCTTCTGGAAAATGTCTTGCCTCTCATTTGCCAAAGTGGTATCAGATGACCCAGCCCCAAAGCAGCCTCTGTGCTGAATGATACTTGGGGCTATTTGGCCTCAGCCATTCCTCCAGGGTCAGCCCTGCTTCTGGCACCTTCATGTCCTGTATCTCAGTTAGTCTTCTCTTGTTGATGGGACAAATATCCAGCATGCAAAATGAAGGAAGGAAAGGTTTATTGAGCTCACAGTTAGTGACGGTTTCATTTCATACTCAGCTGGCTCCAAGACAGAGCAGCACGTGGCCAAGAGCAACATTTCATGGTGGCAGCGAAGAGCAGAAAGCAAAGGGGAGTGGCAACAGCTCACCCAGCTAGCTAGCCTCTCTCCCCTCCTTATATTGTAATGCAAATTACCTGCCCCAGGGCAGGTGCAGCATCCACAACCACAATAATCTATCACAAACTCCAGAAGCCACCCCATGACTGCATGAGGCTGTGGGGGAACAACTATACACAAACCATAACATCTTATCCTGCATGTAAAGGTTTGAAAAAGTTCTCCTGAAAAATCTTCATATGCTTTCTTGGAGACAGTTAAGTCTTCCATCTTTTCCCATCTCTCCAGATGCAAGCTGATGGGTTTGCCATCAAGTCTCAGCCAAAGGGTTGAAGCAGTGCTCTCAGTTGAACGAGATGTACCACCCTGCAATTCTCTGCCAACCACAGCTAAAGAGCTAAGTGATCTCATGGTTTCATATCCAATTGAGCTTATACAAGGCTGTCCCATGTACTTTTGAATCCAAATACAGATGTTCTTCAACTCACAATGGGATTACATCTAATAAACCCATTATAGGTTGGCATATCATAAATCAAAAGTATGTTTAATACACCTGACCTGCCAAACATCCTACACTAAGTGTGCTCAAAAAACTTGTATTTGCCTACAGTTGGACAAAATCCTCTAACAGTAAACTTATTGTAAAACAAAATGTTGAATAATTTATACACTGTATTGAATTCTGGAGTGAAAGTGATAAACATAATGTTTGTTGTCTCAGTTACTTTTTCCTAGTTACTACAACAAAATGTCCAACACCCAAAATTAAGGAAGAAAAGGTTTACTTAGCTCACAGTTAGTGAAGGTTTCAGTCCATATTCAACTGGTTCCAAGGCATAGTGGCACATATCAAAGGTCAGAAGTTCATGGCAAGGGAAAACAACAAAAAGCAAAGGGAGGAGCAGCAGCTGTGGCAGTTAGCTAGCCTCACTCCCTTTCTTATATTGTATTCAGGCTATCTGACCCAGGGCAGGTGTAGCACCCACACCCATAATCCCAGCATTGGATCATGAATTAATCACAAACTCTAAAAGCCACCTCAATGACCGCATGAGGTTTTGGAGGGACAGCTAGACACAAACCATAACAGTTGTATAGGTGTGCTTTCATACCATCATAAGATTGATCAAAATCTCAGATTAAACCATCATTACTCAAGAATCACCTGTGCTTTGTTGAGTGGAAAAGAAGTAGCTGTACTTATAAATACTTTGGGAAGTTGCCATAGATTCTTCACTCTGAATCTGAGCTGCCTTGCATGGAACATGTACTGGCTTAGTGAGGAGGAAAAGGTAGAGAATCAGGCAGGTCAGACAGCCCTTGCCTTCCTCTCTGTTGTTCCACTTTCCATTTCCCATTCGCCTGCCAGAAATGCCTTTGAACTTAGTTAGGTACAGCTACTCACCTTCCGCTTTCCAGAGCAATGGGCATCAGAGCCCAATTTCATGATGGCAGCTACAGAAAAATCACTCCATCTCCTCCCACATGAGGTGGAGAATTTGTTAATGGATACCAAATGGTCACCTCCCCTTCAGAAAGCAGTCTTAGTTCAGCTTCCACAGCATTTTATTTTGCCATTTTAAAATGTTTTCTTTTGTTTATGATGTACATAATTTGCATTGATTGCAAAATCGTAAAAAGTGCACATCAGCTAAAAAGATGAGATAAAGCTTGTTGTAATCCTTTTTTCTGAGAGATTTGGTGGCTGGGACCATTAATTGTGTTGCATCAATGTAACTAGATTAGGAAACAGCCAAGAGATTAGTAAAACACACTTCCGGGTGTGTCTGGATGGGTCAACGGGGTATGGCTATATGGTCTGTGACCACTTCCTCTCTGGCACTCTTCCCTACTCTGCTTCTGGACTTCTATGAGCTAAGCAACTTTATTATATACTCCTGCCATAATATTCCTGGTTTGGGGCCTGAAGACCATAGACTTCACTTTCTGAAACCATGAGCCAAATAAATCTTTCCTTCTTTGGAAAGGAGATGGGTTTGTCCCAACTATGAGATAGCCGAATAGCACAGGGGCTATGTCCTTCTAAGGCTTTGATAGGTTTCTATCCACATAGATCACTTTTCAAAAAGAAAAGTATAATCATGCTATAAATATTAGTTTGTGACATGCCTTCTCACTCCAAGAACCCAAACATCTCAGTATGTCAATAAATATGCTTTTGTTATGTTGCTATTAAAACTAATTGCTCCCATGGTATTCTGTTGTTTACATTCATCATAACTGTTCAGAGTTTGGTACTATAAGTAGTGTTATGGTAAACAACTTTGTTGTTAAGCCCTGGTGCCCATGTAGGATACTCAATAGTAGCCATCAGATCTATGGGCAAGCACGCGTCTAAAACATTTGATATGCATTGGTCAATGGTCCTCGTAACAAAATGTCACAATGTATTCTCCCACCAGCATTATATGAGAATGCTTATTTCCCCATAGCTTCCTAATATTTCTTTTTTATTTAAATAACTCTAAACACAACAATTAATTCCATGACTAGTAATCCAGATAATATTCTAGTTAATGTCTCTGCTAAGGCGGAGAGCGGGGATAAAGAAAACAATTTATACTAAAATCTGGGTAATTTAACTGTTTCCTTTATGCTGGCCTGGTATAAATCTCTGACAAAGTTGTGAACTGAGAGATTTCCCCTATGCCTGGTTAAGGAAAATTAAGAGAAAAATGGGGGAAACACTCTAAACAATTATCTGAATAATTCACTGATAAAGTCCTGCTATGGGGAAGCAAAAGGAAGAGAGTACATTTGTGTTTCTGTTGTCACCAGATTTAACTCCTTAAGTTGCCAGTGACAATAACAGTAATAATTACTTGAGGGTTAATAGTTGGTTTTTCTTTAGGCATAGTGCTAACAAGTCATTCCCACTTTTCATCATGTCTGCTATGAGTCAAGATTGCAGAATTAGCTTAATCTGCACAGTGAGGTAAAAATTATTCCCCATTCTACTGAAAAAAACTGAGGCCCAGAGAGGTTGAATAATTCATCCAAGATCACATAACGAATTATTGGGCAGAACTAAGATCAGAGCTCTGATTCACGTGTTCTCAAAGCCTATGCTATGTCTCCTGTGCTACATGGTTTGTTTTGGTCAAGAAAGGTACTCTGTGCTGCCCAGACCTGGTCAATATTACTTGGGGAAGACTTTGAATGTCCCCCAAAGCCTGCATGTTAAAGGGTTGGCCCACCAAGTGGTGCTGCTGGGAGTTGGTGGAACCTCTAGGAAGTAGGGCCCTGTGGAAGGTCCTTAGGTCACTGAAGATGTGCCTCATGGAGGATAGCGGGAACCTGGTCCTTTTCCCTTTCTCTCTTTTGCTTTCTGGCTACAAGGTGAGCAGTTTTGCTCCCACCATGATTTGCTGTCTCAACTATTAGCCCAAAGCAATGGAACCAACCAATTATAGACTAGAATCTCTAAAACCAGGAGCCAAACTGAACCTTATCTCTTTATAAGTGGATTGTCTCATGAGTTTGTCACAATAATGGAAGACCACAAATGAATATATGAGCTTTTGTTGCCAGACTCCTTTTGAAACAATTGCATTAACACCTCTTTTTCTCTCCCTTCTCTTCCCCTCAGGTCCCAGACAAACCACTGAAGAGCATCAGGTATATGGACAGGGAAATAATCAACCTCAAAAAAGACCTTATACGGAGCCGGTAGGTGAGCCCCACAAGGAATGAATGACTCATAGAGTCTCTGACATGGTGAGCAGGCTGTGTGGGATATCTACAAGTCCTTGCCTAGTTCTGAGGTCCCCCAACCCTAAATATGTAACAGAAGACCTATAAGAGAGTAACCTTGTAAGGAGCAAAGAACAGTGTACTTTTTTTTTTTCAGAACTGGGGATTGAACTCAGGCCCTTGCACTTGCCAGGAAAGCGCTTATTCCACTGAGCCATCTCCCCGGCCCCCAGTGTACTACTTTCTTGGTTGCATGAGGTGTGATCAAAATATACAGTGACAGCCTAGAGAGATAGCTCAGCAGCATAAATGCCTGCCTGGCTAGTGCAAGGTCCTGAGTTCAATCCCCAGTACCACTCCCCCTCACTTCAAGCATATTCATCCTGTCATTAGTTCCACTTTCTGAATACGTTCTGGAAATCCTCTTTTGTGAGTGTCTTTACAAGTTATAATCAAAAAATACAGTAGATGTTGCTGCCAGGTACCATCTGATACAAAGGCAGGCTCATAGAAACATTATAGTGTGTCCTCATTCACACTGTGCATGGCTCTGACTGTGATTTCTAGGTCTTTCCTAAAGTCAAAATGACCAGGAAAGTGAACCATTTTTAACTGATTCAGGGCACTGAAGCAGCTAAAGACTAAAGACACTTATGAAAAAGGACTTCTAGAACTGCTTCAGAAAGTGTCAAGAACAATAGGAGATTTCAAAGCAGGGAGAGTATTCTAAGGGAAATGAATTCTGATGTGTCCTTTACCACTGCAATTTTCTTTCAAAAACATAAGCATTCACCATGATTTTCAATGGCACCACGTACTTTTCAGAAAGAAACTCTACCAGACCCGTCACTGTCACCTTCTCAGGCCAGTGTCTGGCCTAGAACTCCCTCTTGCTTTGCCCTTCTGCTCCTGAATCTGACCCAACAGAGCTCTTGCATACTCCAGAAAGTTTCCCTTTTTTTTTTTTAACTCCAAGCTCACGGGATGATAGCAGAGAGTCAGCTAGACTTGATATCAAATACTGACACTTCCATCTGCCAGCTGGTGACATGAAAGGAGTTGCTGCACCACCCTGCCTTCTTTGTCCCTCTCTGTAAAATCAGAATGCAATGACTCTGTTAGAAGAAGTGAGTGAAATGATGACCATAAGGATCAACTACTATGACCTTGAAATACCCTTGAATGCCTTCACTCCCCCTCACTTCTTTCCCTGTTGTGTGAGCAAACTGAGGTTCAAGAACAGATTTTATTTACCTCTGTGTAGTGAGATGAGATTATTTTTCTCCTCACTCCTTTATTCTTTCCTGGAAACTGACGCTTCCAAAGATGAAATCACAATGTAGAACTTCAGAAAAAGCTGCCAGGGGCAGAGTATGAGCTGGAGGTGTTTTCTAGCACAAAGACAAGCAGGGTGAGCAGGGAGCCATGTACGGTGCAGGCAATGGCAAAGGTCGTTGTGTCTTTGACATAGCCCATTCTGAGCCAATCCAGAGTGAGGGACACAGTGGAACACTTCCTGTCTCCACCTCCATCATCCAAACCCAACCCCACCCCACTGTCACCTTCACTCCCACCCTTCCCTGTCCAGCAGAACAACAACACTACACAACTGATGAGTGAGCCCAAGAGAATGAAAACAGTTTTAATACCATATTTTATTTAGCCCAATATATCCATAATATTGTTATTCAACATGCAATCAATAAAAAAATTAATAAGATGCTTTACACCCAATTATGTTGGCACATGGCTATAATCCCAGCACTCTGGGAACCAAAGGCCAAAGGATCACCAGTTCCAGCCCAGCCTGGGCAATTTAGCAGTTTAACAAGACCCTGTCTCAAAATTCAAAACATTTTAAAAGGGCTGTGCGTCGCTTCCCAGCCTTTGGCTAAGATCAAGTATGAAAGGGCTGCGGATGTAGTTCTGTGTGAAGGCCCTGTGTTCAATCTCCAGTGCTGGAGGAAAACGTGATGTAGGCTTGCTTCTCTGCCACCCTTCGGTTGGCCAGTGCAGTCCATCCCTCCTGCCGGCGACACTGACCACAACTCCAGAACAAGCTAGAATTTAACATCTTCGTCAGACAGGACTAGCCTCTCTTGCCACTGGAGATGAAGGAAAAATGTGGAAAAGGACATTCAGGAAAGCCACAAGCAAGAACCCATGAAAGGACAACAGTGGGTTTCACCCAACCACACTCTTGGATCCCATTGGCATTTAAAGAATCGGCGATTTCCCATCAGAATGAAACCCCTTGTTTGCCAGGGGAAAATCAGCTCTAAAGAGTGCAAATCAGCCCCGACCATGGGCCCATCTCCTGGTATTAAATGAGGCAAATTATTAGCAAAGAAGATGTTGTCTTTTCCACTTATTGTTTTGTAAATTCATTTCGCCTCCTATTAGAATCTAGCCCACCTTGAGCCACACACCCTGACTGTCTCCTGGATTTTTATTTAATACTTCAGCCCTCTTGTAATTCAATTGCACCATCTCTGGTTTCATGGCCAATTTAACATGATGCTAAAAAGAATAAAACTCTAACTGCTTTCTTCCTCGCCTGTTCTGCCAGATGTTCGGTAGCGCTAAGCATCACCAAATGTACTAGGTTGCTGAATTTCTGCTAACACAAGTTGAGGATCGTGGGCCCCATAGTTGGTCCACTCTTGAAGTGGGTGACATATTTTCCTCTGAAGCCACTAGTGCTTATTATTAAAAATCCATAAGAAAAATAATTATCTCTGCGACAGAGACAAGGAAAATGTTGCACCAGAAGCCATGATTTAGCCATGCCAAAGTTAAATATAGGCAATGGCAAGAAACAGTGAGGAATTATCCACCACCACCCCCTCTACAGCAGAACCTGGCAAGATCTAGATTCTGCAAGTATTTAGGAGGGCTGAGACTTTGCTTCCCAGCTGCGTTTGATAAGCAGCTGAAGCAGGCAATCAGATGTAAGTAAGGTGGGATTTTTTTGTCAAAGGAAAAAGCTATTTATAGGGTGTTGAGTTAGACATGCCTCTCTGCCATGGTTCTGATGAGTATCCTCCAGTGTTACTATGAGAGACACTTAGGATCCTGGGTGTGTGCCCTTGAAAAGGCCTGTGTTTCTTCCTTTCCTGGCTCGTATGCTCCCTATGTCAGAAGGTAAGTGCTTTTGCTTCGGTACACACTCTATCCACAATGTGCTGCTTCATCAAATGCCCTAAGCACAGAGCCTCCAAATCCATGGGCCAAAAGAAACCTTTACTTGTCGTAAATTAATGCCTCCAAGATTTCACTATAGTGCCAGGAAGAGGATGGATACATTCCTGGTAAATTCTTATCCCTCAGTGCTCATTTATTTTCTTCAACAAATGTTTATTGAATAGGAAGTCTTACCAGCTATACACCAGGCATGGTTGTGTGTAACAGAAGCTCAGAAAGGAACAAACCAGACAGAATCCCTGTCCTTGAGGCATAAGAGGTGATGCATAGACTATAGACCATAGTGATGGACAGGAAAGGGCTACTTGTAGGGTCAGGAAGAGTGGTCCTGAATGGAGAGAAACCCATTAACATATACATACAGGGGAAGAGAGAGGAGATATTTCAGAGAACAGAAGGGGAATGGTGCCAAAATTGGAACTAGCTGGGAATGCTGGAGGAACAGAAACCATGCCAATGAGACACGAGCTGAATGAGGAATAGAAAATCAAGAGACAAAATAGGAGCATTGGGCAAGTGCTGGTTCATCCAAGGCCTCGAAGGCTGGGTCTTAGACTAAGTGCAGTGAGACTATGCAGTTTGGGAGAGGGACTGTGAGAAAGGAGTGAGCCAGTCTTTAAAAGGACATCCCCTCTGCTGCAGGAGATCAGCTGGAGGCCGTGGTGAGAAATAAGGCCGTCTTGAATCAAGGAACTAGCAGTGAGCTGGCAGAGGAAGGTGGATTCAAGGTTGCTTTGGGTGTAGGATCCCTGGACTGGCGCTGGATTGGATGTGAGAGCTGAGGGAAAAGGAGGCACCCATGTGCTACGATGATCTGTTTCCATCTCTTCCTCCCTTGCTAGAATGTAAGAGCTCTCACTCCAACACGAAGTGTGCCATGGCCACTGTTGTGGTCCCGGGCAAGTGTGTATTGACAAGATGAAATGAGATTCTTGTCCATCCCTAGAACTCAGTTTTTGTGTGTGTGTGTGTGTTTTTTTTTTTAAAGAAGAAGATGTGTTTATTAACTTAATTGGTTTCATGAGTAAGGGAGATGGGATAAATCAGAAGATGAGATATCTGGCCCTTTGCTTACAGCCTTTCAGGTCAACCTGTCAACTTCTCCCTTTTCCACTGACATTTAAGCAGGATTATCCACTCCAACTTACTGGTGGCTGGCCTGTGGCTGGAGAGAAGAGACACCAAAGTCGAGCAAAATTAGTGTCAACCTGTCCTATGAGTCCCAGAATCTAGCTAAGTGCTTAGCATAGAGTGGGCACTCAAAAACCATTCACTGAAATTTATGTCTATGTAACATCTTAAAATCTTCCCCAAGGGCCGGCTAAATAGCTCAGCAGATTAAAGTGCCTGCAAGCAGGTGCAGGGACCTGGGGTTCAATTCCCAAGCTTGCTATGCTGGCCCTAACCCCTGGGTGCACTGAGATGGCAATTGATACTGGGTGTGGTGGTGCACACCTGTAATCCCAGCCCTTGGGAGGCTGTAAACAGGAGAATCACAATGAGTCCAATCTAGTAGTGAGACACTGAACTCCCTGTAGACCCCTTCCTAAAATACGGAAGAAAAAAGATCTTCCCCAAGGCAGGAAAAATATCTTGTTGCATAACTTCTCCAGTGGTAAACTGAGACTCAGAGAACATCAGAAATTTACTTAAAGTTACCATGGCAGTTAGCTACTTCTGCATAACAAATAATCCCAGAAACCCAGTGATTTAAAACAGTAGTACCTAGTAGTGATTATGAGTCTGTGGTTGAGCTGAGGGTTTTTCTAGGC